AGCTTCTATTAAAACATTAAAACTAAAGAATTCCTTTAATGAGGACAAAAGTGAGCCCCAGCCTTTATTCTTAGCAGGAGATGTAGGATTCCACAGCATGTGACAAGTCCTCTTTTTTTTTTTAATATAAAAAGGTTTTTGTTCATAAAACCAAAGGTTCACCCCAGATGAGGCTTTTGCAATTTAAAAGACTGTAAGCCACATGCCAGTGCCAAGGGAGTCTTTACACTATTTGTTTAAATATCAGAGTTTGGGATTAGGAGCTTTATCCATATATTCACTCTTCTCCACCAAGTCTCATTCTGTGTGCTGAGCCGCGCTTTATGAAACAACCAGACGGCAAGTTGGTTTTCATGATCTCTTTCAGCCGTTACCTGGACGAGTGCTCAGTTTTGTGTAAGACCAGACTCTTCCTATCTGAAGTGTTAACAGATAACCAATGAGTAGTACTTAGGAATTTTTTTTAAAAGGAAGTGAGGTCTAACATTTTTATGTTTTGTTGGGGTTTTATTGTTACTATAAAAAAAAGGGTGAGTAAAGTATATGAAAGGAAACCAGTGGTTCAGATTTCTTATGCTGCATGTTCTCAACAGTTTAATAAAATAAAATCTAAAGCTCCCAGGTTTTCCTTCAGGGTTCATACTAACACTGCGCATGTTCCCACCAGCCCAGCTCCCCGTCATAGGTCATATTCTGGTTCAGAGACTTGGGATGGGTAATCAGAATGTAAAGCATGCCTCTTGTTTGCCAGTTACCACATGTTAATAATAATAGTAGTCATAAATCACTGGGATCCTGGGGTTTTAGGTTTACTTTGTTTAATTTAAAGGAATAAAAAAATCCAGAGAAGAACAAGGCAGCATTACATAATGGAAAAAATTATATCCTTTTGCAGAAATGAACAATTCCTTTAATTTATGAGCACCTCTAGCCCTCAGTAGAACTTTGCTTCTTAGTGGAGATGAAGGGATGAGCACAAGGAGATATTTGTGTGAGGTTAGTTTACAGCAAGTTTTTCAATCTTGGCACTTACTGAGATGTGGGGCTGGGTAACTATTTGTTGTGGGGACGGTCCTGTGCATCGTAGGATGGTTGGCAGCATCTTTAGTATCTACTCACAACCTGCCAGCAGCACCTCCTCACCCCCAGCCAGTTGTGATAATCAGTGGTGTCTGCTGACTTTGCTAAATGTCTCTGGGGGACAAACTGCCTGCCCTTCGTTGAGTACTTCTCGCTTAAAGTGAAACAACAGATGTCAAAGGTTTCCTGATTTACCCGTTTTGTCTAATTTGAAAGTAGCCGGGCTGTCACTGTTTTTTAAGACAAGAAGTGACTTAGAGTTTTAAGTCACACTTGGCCACACCTTTTTCTGGCTTTCTGGCTGAATCACAATTCAGTTTCAACTCCATGTTTCAGAGGTTTACACATGCACTTAGAAATACATGGAACCATACTTCTTTCTTCTGTCCAAGTTGTCACACGGATGGTTATTTGTAGATTATTCTTCCAGTTGTAAGCAGCTGAAGTGATTGATGGTCTCTGTAAGTTCACGTTTTGATAACCGCAGATGGAGTCTGACCCTTTGTATCTTTTCCCTTTTTTTGATAGAAGTTTTTATAGCTCAATGATCTTGGGGATTCATTGGGAAAGTTGAATGTTTGAGTTCAAATAACTCAGTTCCTGTTTCCAAATGATTCTTGTTATCTGATGCTTTCTAAAAACAGAAATGGAATTAAGGGGGAAAATAAACACACATGGATTTGATATTGTTTTTATTTTCCAATAAGCTTTCATTAAAAGGGAAAGAAAATAAAAACCCTTCAGTTTATCTGAATCTCTTTTCAAATAATACACACATTGGTCTTGGCAGCAGTTGTCCAGTCTGTTTGTAGAGTTAACCTTTTGCGTTTTTAGTTGATACTGGGGATGCTGGGGTTTCATACTTATTGGGGTGTGGGAAATATGTAGGTAAGTCTAGTTATGGATAACTCAACTGGTTCTCAGTCTTGGTTTCAATTAGAATTATCTGAGGAGCTTTGAAATAACGCAGGGCCCAGGCCAAATCCCAGATCAGTGAAATCAGGCCTCAGACCAGGCTCTCTCTTCCCTTAATCTAGTGGGAGTGAAGGCTGAGAACCAGGGAACATTTCAGTAAGTCAAGTTTTATTGTAACACAGCCACACCCCTTCATTTACTGATTGTCTAGAGACCCTGTGACTTACAAAACCTAAACTATTTACTGTTTGGCCATTTACCAAAAAAAGTTCGCTGACCCCTGTTCTCAACTCACAGTGAACATTTTCCAAATATTTTGAAAAGAGGTTTTATACAAAATTCATAGTAAAAGGGAAAAATCCAGGATTTTGCTGAGCCTGTAGGCTCAAATCCTGTCAATTTTCTTGCACCCGGGGAAAATTTAAAAACATTTTCCTTGAAGAGCTGACTTGGCAGATTTTGCCCCAGCGGAGGAAGATGTCACCAACTCGGCATCCAGATGCGGGGGCACCATTATTTATGTCAGGACACTTCTTACTTAATAGTTGGCACTTGTTCTAATAAATGTTCATCACGTAGACTGTGCTGACTTGAGGGCAGGCTATAGAGGTAGAAACGTTTCTCTCCCGCAAACTGTGTTTGAGCTTGTTATTACGGCTGTAGCCATTCTAGGTGGTTGTGAACCCTGAAAAAAATATCTTAGTTCTGGGGAATCTCATGTATAAAAAGAAAACGAATGGAAAATTTAAAGTAGCATCATTTCTGCCTTTTCTTAGTTTAGGTGGAAAGTTGTAAACAGTTGGTCAGAAGAATTTTTTAGGAAGTTCTCCTTTGGTCATAGGCCCCCTAACGGTGTTCAGTGTGAGAGAAAGAATCGTTTATTCTAGTCCCTTGTCACCAGAGTGAGGTTTTATTTTTTTTACTTTTTAAAATATTTTTATTGAATTAGAGAGAGAAGGGCGAGGGAGAGAAAGAACCATCAATATGAGAAACATTGATTGCTGCCTTCTACAAACCTCCTGCAGGGGATCAAGCCTGAAACGCAGGCATGTGTCCTGACCAGGAATGGAACTGGCAATCTTTTGGTGCACAGAACGATGCACAACCAACTGAGCCACACCAGCCAGGGCCAGAGCGCGGTTTTGAGCCAGCAGAATCAGCCTCTCCTGGGAGTGAGTCAGACTCTGAGGCTCTACCCAGACTTACTGAACCAGAGCCTACTTTTTAACAGGATCCCAGGCTGCTCTCATACACATGCAGAGAGCACCAGGAAGTGCCGGTCCAACGGATAGCTGGGCCAGTGCAGTAAGCACTGCTGAGAGTCAGTCCCTCTTCAGTGATTTCACAGTTCCTGGTGGCTCTCCTGACTTGGGCCCACTCACTAAAGGCAGCCGGTCTCCCCTTTGGCTATTTCCAAGCATTGCTGCATTCCCTCTTATTTAGTAAAAAATTTATATAATGATAGACAATGAAAATTGGATGATTGAGCTGGAAGAGATACCATTTAATGTGCTTCAGAAAAAACTAGAAAGGATACAAGGAACTTGGCCAGATAAACTTCACTTGAAAGGGAATAATTAAGTGGCATAGAGTCTTCTTTGCTTTTGCAAGAAATAATCTACACATCAAGCATACATTTGTGCTGGGGGAACAGTGGGGAGGGGCAAAAACGAACTCTTTGAGCTTCTGAAATTAGCACACAGAAATCAAGGATGTAGGCCTTTCCACCAAGCACTGCCATAATATTCAAAGTTTACTTTGGCCTATAGTACTTGAGGAATTGTCCAAAATTTGGATGTTCATAGAAGATCTTGAGAAAGCCTAGGACCTAATTTTATCCTGCCAGGCTTTGCCAAGTTAGTACTATTATTTCTAAATCAAATAAGTGGCTTCTAGAGATTGGATTGAAAAACATGATTTCAAAATTATTCCTTAATTGTTGAACAAATTTGGTTTATCCAGAGCATTCCTTAGATTGACTTTTTTTAAAAAAAAAAAAATTAATACCATCTGAATTTAGTGTTTTTGAAACTGTATAAATAATTGAAGTCTAGATGTTCTTGCTGTGAAGATAGGGTCATGCATTTAATGTTTAGTGTCTGTACCGGGGTGTGTGCAGGAAACAGAATAATTCTAGGTGTTCGCAGAGTGGCCAGGAAAGCAGAAGTGAGGTGCCCTTCTAAGCCTGCAGGTCCCGTTTCCTTAGCTTTGAATGAGAGGCCAAGAAACTGTGTGAACTGCTCCTTACAGAAAAGCTGCCCCATGGTCCCAAAGGCAAGGTCTGATTGCCAGAAGTATTAGTGGAGAGAAATGGTGCGCCTGTGCGTAAGCCACGTAACGGCAGTTTACTGCTGCTGGAGGGACAGCATGTGCTCCCTCTGCCTTCCCTTCTGTCTTCCAGATCTCACTCCATGTCTTGTTAGCAGACTCCAAATCACCTCCAGAACCCTGGTGACAGGAGAGTCTGGGAAACATATCGCACTTTGCTCCTTGTTGCAGGGAAAAGCATGGAAGGGGGTGGGAATGGATACCGAGTGATGATATTCAGCATAGCATCATGCTAATGACAATAGCTTACCTTCACCCTATTTTCGTGTTTTTTAAAAATATTCTCTATATGCACTGTATGTTCACTAAGATGAGATGCCAGTTTTACACGTGAAGAAATGTGAGAAGGTGAAATGACTGGTCAACAAGGTAGTCATTGTCACAGTAATGCCATGCTCTCCTGTTTTTCCTGCCCAGTTCTCTTTACTACTTGTTAATTGGGCATCATAGGATGAGAAGAAATTTTAGGGGTGCTTTAGCGGGAACCCCAAGATAGAAAAGGCACCTCAGAATGCCCAGTTCTAGTATTTTCAGGGTTAGTGTACTGGATGGTATATTCATAGTTGAGGATACTACCAACTTCATAGGGTATGGCCTTCACTTAAAGAATTATGCAAATCTTGAAATGACTATAAAATGCAACTTTGGTCTTAATACATTCCTTCTTTTTTCTTAAGCCGATGAAAACCTCAGAGAACCGCCACCCTGTGGGTTCCCAGTACAGGATGCATTCGTACTACCCACCTCCCTCCTACCTGGGCCAGAGCATGTCCCAGATCTTCACTTTTGAGGATGGCCCTCCCTACCCGGAAACCAAAGCGAGCGGTAGGTGTCTGGTTACACAGACTGGATCCTGGGTGGAGAGCGGATGAGTGTCCAGCACAGGGCCTCTGGCTCTCCAAGGGCTCACCAGTTAAGAGCTATTGGGAAGTGTATCGCTGTGTAAGTCTTATATAAGTATCCTTTAAGGTGTTTTGTTATGGAATGATTTTGTTTTGCCTAGATTCTTAATATTACATTTCTCTTTTTTTGTGTACCCAGAGTGACAGGAATAAGATAAAAGACTCCTCAGAAGCTAAAAAATGTGTTTTCTGAGGGATCAGTGTGAAATGCAGGGACACTTTAAATGTGGTTCCAAGTCCTGATGTTTTTGGTAAAGTGCATTTCCATATACTGAATACTTGTTTTCCAAAGTTTTTCCATTTTAAAATTGAAGGTATATTTATATTTTGGGGAAAAGAAATAAAATAACATAATAAAACACTTTTTAATACAAGCGATCTCAGAGTTTATGCAGTAGCAATGTAAATAACTCTGATAAAATGGCTTTGGAGTGAAAAATGACTGCTTAATGTACCAGAGCACTTTGAAATACACAATTGCTCAATTTCAGTTTTAACCTTCTCCCCAGAGTTTACACTGTGGAGACAGACAGGTTTTTTCTGGCTGTTGTGTTCCTAGGACCTGTTTTTAAGTTCTTTATATATAAGCATTATCTTTTGACCTGGAAAAGTGAGAAGCTTACACAGTCGAGGCAGTAGAAATCAGGGCAATGGTGAATGACTTGGTAATTTCAATAACTTGATTCTCTATAGAGAACTGCTTTCTTTGTAAAGCAAGTACTTAGAGAATGAGAATCAGAACCATGCTTTGATTTCCAAATTTAGAACAATGAAGTCTAAAAAGGCTGGGCAAGTTACACTTTATTTATTGTACTATAAATCAAAGATTCCAATTATGTGGAATATATAATATAGGTTAAGGGAACTGATAAGTGTGAACTGAAGAAACACTGAAGTACATCTTGTTGATTGTACTTTGACTTTTATTAATAGTCATACTTCAGAGTGGACAAACATAACTATTATGAATATTTATACTGTATAATATATGCTCATATGTTCTTCCTTTGATTATATATGTTTATCTGGATTATAAGCTCCTTAAGGATAGTGAACACATCTCATATCTTTTTATACGCTATGATGCCTTTTAAAAAATTTGTTATTTATTAGTTGAGTGATAAGTGAATGAATAAATGAATTCAGTATTATTTTTAAGTAAGCTTGTTCTTTAAGGAAACATAATTCTGAAAGGTCAGAATCCTAATAGTCTGATGGAGTCCTTAAAAAAAGTTTATTCAGAAAATTACCAATGATACCTACTTTAAGGGGGAAATTGCCTAACCTTCTTTCTCCAGGAATAATGGAATGTTTTTAGAAGCACTGGCATTCTTGAGACAAAGGTGTAAATTCAGAGGAAGGCAATAAGACAAAAAGATGAGAAGAATTTATTAGAGCAGAGAAGAATGAATTTGGAGAGGAGCAGTAGGCATTTGAATTTATGGCAGAAAAGGAAGAGACTCAGAAGGAAAGAGGTTACAGTCCAGGAAAGAAAAGATTGGCTGCTCCAGTGTTCACAGGGAAAGACTGGGTGAATAACACCTAGAATTTCTTCAAAACTTTTCTGGTGATATGTGTATCTGAAAGTGTGGTTTAACCTCCCAGTAACCCTCTAACTCACTAATAATTAATCAGGAGGGTCAAGCTTCAGACATGAGGGCATTAGCTAGGAAGAATTGCAGTGAAATCTCTGTCTTGGGATTGATGGACAACGAGAACATGAATTAATTGAAAATCCAAGACTCAGCTATTTTTAAAAGAAGTGTGGCTTTATGACTTCCATGTATGGTGTCATGGGCTCTACATCGTATGAGATATTTATAGAGCTGGTGGGAAGGGAAGAGGAAAGAGAAACTTGTGTGTGGACATCCCAGGTGCCATCTCTTGGGGCACCGGTTCCTCAGTTTTATCAGTATTGACACAAATGGGGAGCTCTTTGGGGGCAAATTAGGCCCTTAATGGGGCTGAGGCTAGTTAGTGGCAGCGTGCTGTGAGTGGGGATGGGGACATCAGTGTTTTTGTTTGTGAGAGTGACAAAGGCTGACTGATAACCAGTTACATTTATCAGTTCTGTCACGTTTGAGTTGAAGTCCTTTGGTTGGTTGGGTTAGTAAGTTAACGGTTAGTAATTGTACATCAGTTATTCTAAGTGGGAACTTCTAAGTAATTTGAAAAACAGTATTTTCAAGAGGTTTCATGTTTTCTTTAAAGTCTTATTTAAGTATAAGTTTTTGTCCATTAGGTCCATTTTTCTTCAGTTTCTTTAAAGACAACCATCACCTCTCTTTACCATCTAAAAAGCAAGTCCAAGCTCAATGTTTTCCTCTGGTTTTGCTAAAGATTGCCACATGAAAATAGACTGTAGGGAATGCCATGTTGCTACTGTTCATTGTTTTTCTTTGTGAAAAGGCTGAGAGCCATTCTCCTTTTCTTATCCTGAAAAGTGTCAGGAGGTAGATCAGAGAGAAGGCGGGCCCAGACTTTGTAACCATTGCAGGCACTTGGCTTTTGTTTCAGGTGAGCTGGGAGGCCACTGGAATATTCTAGCAAAGGGGTGACATGTCTGCCTTGTGGTTTTAAACTCTGGCTACTATTTAAGAATAGACTCTAGGGATTTGATGTGGAAGCAAGAAGACCAGTTACTAGTAAAAGGCTACAGTAGTAATTCTTACAAAAGATGACAGTGGCTCAGTTAGGGTGGGAATGTAGTATGATGACAAGTCGTTGAATTCTAGATGTATTTTGAAGAAAGAACCAATAAGATTTGCAGATGGATTTGGGATGAGCCATAAAGGAA